CCCCCGGTTACAGAGCATCTCCTATCCTAACTCTTACCTCTTACTTCTCATAAGGCTTCAACCATCGTTCACTGAGCTTCTATCAGCCCAAAAAGTCTCACATCCCCCCCACTCTCTCTTTGCTGTCTCCACTGACTCTGACTGGGATTTTCCTCTAGATAACTTATCATCATATTGATGATAACTGTAAAATTGTGTCTACTTTGTAAGTCGCTTTGGATAAAAGTGTCCAAATTAATAAACATAAACATGTCCTGGGGCCTTTAGCCATTTGATGGACTTTTACATGAACAGTCTTTGTTGTGGACAGTCCTTGATTCTGATGCTTTGTTTACCGATACATGGGTTTATCTCCCTTTGAAACGACTGTCCTCCACCCTGGGTTTGAGTAGTCTGATGAATGAAGCAGTTATGATCAGTTAAAAGTGGAGGAAGGAGCTACCAGGAGCTACAACAACAGCAGCAGCTCCCTGTCTGTCTTCAGGAAACTTCTAAACTCCTCTTTAAAGAGCATGTCCTATCCTAACTCTTACCTCTGGACCCTCTACTCCTCTTTCTGTGCTTCCCTCTCTCTCTTTGCTGTCTAAGTCTAAATCTAAACGTGGTCCTCTTTAAATGACAAGTGATCGCAGTGGAGGAGCTTTTCAATGCTCTGACTTAATCCACCCATTTCAGATTTTGGTCACTAGCAAAGTTTTTTGGCCCCAGGAGAAGATAGGGTAGGACCTGTCACCTTCTGAGGCTCAAACCGTAGAAATAAAACAACGTGAACACAGAAAAGTGATGCTAAATAGCGTAAATACGAGTGCTCGCTTTGCCTGTCAACTCAGTGGAGACGACATCGAAAAATGGCCTGTATTTGGGAAGAAAAACACATCGTGACCGACTTTTTTGACAACTCAGGACGGTGCTAAGTGTCACACAAGAACCTCACAACACAGGGACATTTCACTAATTTTAGAATTTGTATATATCTGCAACGATATTTTGAGACTGCGTTCATATCTATTAACTCTCACCCCTCCTTAGAAAGCATTTAGGTTGTAAAACGTTAGCTAGCAACAGTTAAAGTACCAAAACAATGCTAACAGCATAAGCCGGCATTTAAACATTTCCCTCGTTGGTCCAACTGATAAAAATCCGGAAAGAAGACAAACAAAACAAAAATAAAAACAGAATAAAGTGGCAGTTTTTGTTTTGTGACATCAGCGATACTTGAGCGAAATATTTGAACACTTCTATGATAAATTAAGCTAGCCAGCTAACAACCCACCTGAAAAGTCGCTGAGAGACGTGTCGTTTCCTCGCATTGTGCCATTTTTCCTCGGGACCAAATTCAAACCCAGTATTTGCTGGACAAAGCCTATCTCGTTATACTTGTCTTGCATGTCTCACGCAAATATTACCGCCGGCATACGGGAAAAAACTAGCGGGCAGAGACCCCCGTGTGAACCGTGCCTATGCGGACATTACCGACACGAAAACGCCTCACACCGGCTTTACGACAGCTGCCGTAAAGAACAACTTCCGGTTCAAGTAAATTCACATTCTGTGTACTTCGTCTATTTTAATAATGAATAAACGTAACTTAATGAGTAAATGGATAAAATAAATACAAATATCTGGTATGAGATTTTACCTGAATATTCACAATTTATTCGTTTATCGACTACATTTTCAAGTAGTAGAACAGTAACCAATCACAGGGTTGTAAGCGTGCCGTTGTTCTCCTAGCAACGAAAAAATAAAATATTCTAATTGGCCAACTGACCGGTGAGACGTATTTAGCTCTCAACGTCCATGAACGATCAAAGTTTGATGTTTTAAATAAAATAATCGAAAGCAACAAATTAAAATAAAATAAAAAAGATAATGGGGACTTTTACGCCAAATGTACAACCAACTAAAAATATATATTTCGAGATTCTTAGATATGAATATAAATCACAATCATTTGATTTATTTAATGTCATCAAATAAATTCCCTATTTTTATCTGCACTACACAGTGGTAGTAGTGAGTGTTGTCTATTGGTCAGTGTCAAATTCTAGTGATGAGTTAATTGGAGATGTTTTTTTTAAAGACATTATTTTACCAACTGAATTAGGATGTACTCAGTTACACTGTGCCTCCATCAGATAAATAAAAGAGATGGGATCACAGCCAGATTTCAATCGATGGTCCTGAAACACAGTCATAAAGCAAAGACCCTGCAGGGAGGTCCACCATTGCAAAATTCTGCTACAAATCCAACGTTAGCATGTTAAATTTAATTCTTCCAATTACTTTGCTGCACAGCATCAACATCCTTTGCTAATAACATACATCCATTTGGAACTTTTTTTTAGCATGCAACACATTCCAAAAAAGTCTCGCTAAAGCAATTTTTGAAAGTGAAGTCAGTGTCCATGAGTCTCTGAGCAGCAAGATGGGCAAGACGGGAACTCTATGGGAACCGGGTCCATTTTCTCTGGACTTCTGGGATGGAGGAAACATAGCTTGTGCTTACACAAATCAGCATTCCAGATCTTTGTTTTAAGAAAAGGATGCTGTGTGCTAGCCCTATAAGGAGCATCCAGACTGTTCTCGGCTAGTAGTCCCAAAGCCAGGCTCTAAGGATGGGAGGGGGGGGGTAAGCAGGGCCCCATAAAGCTCATTTCCACTTCTGTGATGCAGCTTTAATGCAGAAAAGTTCACAGTTCGTCAGTTAATCGACAAAAACAAAATCAATACGCCCATGTTTCCAGGCTGTGTGCACTTCTGTCCTCGAAAGCATAGAGTGACGGACTGTTTTCCTGTCCAGCACTTTTCATGTAAAAATGATGGAAATCTAGTGTTCTCTAAAGCGTACCAGAAGTTTATGTTCCAATTTCAAACCACAACAAAGTGGCTAACGTGCCATCTTTTTTTAAGAACAGCTATCTGGGAATAAACATTTCTAACCAGCTACCAGAAACTGCTGCTTCTTTTAACCCTGTAAAGCCCGATCCAAGAGAAATAGGAAGAATATTGGATTTTTTTAGTCTGAAGTCTTTCTTTGGCCCCTCAACAACATATGAAGAAAAAAAAACATATATAGAGCAAAATATATTTTGGTGTAGTCTTCTACTGGCTGTTATCAGGTATATCTGAATGTGTTCAACAGGGGTTTGAGCAAAGCTTTTACCACTGAAGGATGCAAAAAGTCTCAGATCCAAAAGACTTCAGAAACCGTATGAATCAAATATGACACATTTGGCATTATAGGGTTAACAGAAGAGTATGCTACCTTCAAGGACACGTCATTTCCAGGACAAAAAACCCCCACTCTTGACACTTTTTATCATTTTATCCTCTATGTCTGAACACCTGAGACCTGGAGGAGGTAAAGACATTATTTACTGTTCAAGCTTTTTAGGAATGTGTTGGTCTAAAATACAAAAACCATGTTGGATGGATCCTCCCGTGTTGATACCGTCTGTGATGGAGCCAGATTGGACCAGTTCCACTCCAAATACCTCTGGGACGATTTATGAAGCTTCAGAGTTGAGGGGCTCCAACTGTCTGCCTTTTTTAACTCACGTCTTTAGTTATACAGTGACCGCTGTCTAAAAAAAGGCACAACACATCACAAAGGACACTCCTCATCCCGGACATTCTCCGTTTACACTGATGATACAGAGCAATCAGAACAAGAACCAACCGCCTTAGAGACAGTTTTTACCCGGCAACAAAACTAAATGCAACCAAAAATAACTATTAATCATCATGGATGATGTGTGTGAGAATGTGCTATTCTTATTTATTAGTTGTTTTTTTTTTGTTTTTTTGGGTAAATTATTTTATTATATTGCTAGTAAATTAATTAATTAATTATTTTTTCTTTTTTTAGCATATGCACTGATTGATGGCACTTTTTAAATTTCGTTGTTTTTGTGACAATGACAAAGATTCATTCTATACGAACCCACACCATGAGTAGGACAGGGGGAAAAAACATGCTTTTTTAAGAGACGGGATCAAAAACTGCTGCTACTTCTTGCTGAACTTGTGTATCTGTTTTGGTTACAGAAGAAAATTCAGATATTAAATACATCCAAAAGGTCACTGAACAGCTAGTTTTTGCTTAAAGGAGACATATTATACCCTATTTCAACAGGTTAAGCTAGTTCCCTGGTGTCCTAATGTAATGTCTGTGACAAGCTTTGGTCAAAACCCCATAAGGATGAAGCCCAATAGCAGTTCAGTCCCCCTGCCTAACCCTAACCCTAACCCTGCCAAAACAGCCCCGTTCAGAGCGCTCGCTTTGGAGTGCCTGTCTCTTTAAATGTAAATGAGACACAGGCAATCCACCCACTTCTTCAGGGAGGTGTTCCCACGTCGGCACGCTAACGCTACCATGCTAACGCTACCATGCTAACGCTACTATGCTAACGCTACCATGCTAACGCTCACGCTACCATGACGTCTCCACAGATATTGGAGTAAGCTGAGGGGGGGGGGCAACATGCAGGTGAAAGGCTGGAA